CGAACATCGAAAGGTCAAACGTCTATAGTATTATACCAGAGATAGAAACAGAAAGAAAAGAGCAACAAGGAAATTCCAATGGTTAATTTTTGTGTCAGCAATTCGAATAGTTCGAGTTAAAGACGACAACGAAAAGACAAAAGACATTTCAGAATGAGTAAATGTAAAAAGTTGAAAAATCATTAATATTTCGAAATATGAACGTAACAACAAATAAAATAAAAGAGAATTATCATCTCTCCCTCCCATAAAAGTCTTCTTTATATCACATTCTACTTTCCTAACACATCATTTTCCTCTCTCTCTCTTCTTCTCCTCGATTTTCTCTAACATGGAGAAAAGAATGAAGCTCGGGGTTTCAAGGCTAGTCCGGTCATCTCTAAGCTCTTGCCGACCACGAGAGCTATACGACGTCGTCGAGACATGTACGTTCACAAGTCGCACGACTTGTTCAGAGCTTACCAAGACAGCTAAAACCAAAACTCCACGTCAACAACACACTCCTTCGTCGTCACCGATCTTCCCTCCAAACCCATTCTACGAAGGAAGTCGATCTTTTCGAAAGACTAAGACAAAGAGCAAGAAGATACGGTCCAAGTTTGGTTCTGATTCACTCGTTACCTCTCGTTTTAAGTCAAGTGGGTCTTGGTGTTGGTCTTGTAGCGAAGAAGATGAACAAGAAAGTGATGATAGAGATACACTCTTTTCTTCTAGAAGCTTCTCATCGGAGTCTTCGGAGAGTTTTGCGGTGGTGAAGAAGTCAGAAGATCCTTATGAGGATTTTAGGTTGTCGATGGTGGAGATGATTCTTGAGAGACAGATATTTGGAGCGGTTCAGTTACAAGAGCTTCTACAGTGTTTTCTTGCGTTGAACTCTCGTCAACATCACAGTGTTATTGTCCAAGTTTTCTTAGAAATTTATGCCACCTTGTTCTCTCCCTAGTTACTCCTCTCTTTTTACATTTTAACGTGTTTGTACTAAACTACTATGTTTAATCTACTAGATTCACTTTTACTGTTTAATCTTTGTTTTAGCCTGTCTTTGTCTTTTCATTCTGCACCGAAATTGGTTAACTTTGAACCAAATCGGAATAACATTATCCGGAGTCACTAACTCAA